TTTGATCTTGTTGTGCATTGGGTCTTCTTGGATTGATGAATCCTCTGAATCCTCGACACATTCCATTGCCACTTTGCAGGGGACACAAGGTATGGGTTCTTCCGAGTCCGTTTCTTCGTCTGAAAACTGATTTCTTCCTTCCTGAGTTACTTTTTCAGATGCTGAAGGTTGAGGTCGGGCTGTAAATTTCTGATTCTTTCTTGAAAATCCCGGAGGTGAGTCTGAACAACCAATCCCCACTGTCAGAGGTCTCACGACCACAGGAAAAAGAGTCTTGACCGCGGTCAGAGTAGACGGACCCCCGACTCCAAATGGGACTTGCATTTCGTACGGACCTCTTCCGCTTCTTCCTTTGGTAGACTACCATCATCTGGTCGTTTCTTGGTTAGTTCAGAACTCATACCAGGGTGATGTTGTGTCTACTCATCAGGGTCTTTGAGATATTTCTTAGAAAAATCTTACAGTCGGCTCAATGTTGGGCATTTGTCCCATTCTTGCATCAATTTCCCGTGCCTTGAGCTCGAGTTTGGTTAGCCTGTACTCGATTTCTTGGAACTCTTCATCTGTCTTCTCTCTATACGAGGAGGCGAATTTTCAATCTCCATGGATCTCCCGTTTTGATTCGACAATATCACTTGAGTTTTGTATGATATCGTACACTTGCCTTGTCTGTACTGCTGCGACTTGATCGATCATTCTGGCCAGGGTTTGTGCGTCCTTGTGGGTTTTCTCTTCCAGGATCCGGACATGATCAGCTATATCATCAAACTTCCTGTTGAACTCTTCAGAGATTGAATCAATCCTCTTGAGCAGGGTGTTTTCGGTGAGGATTTGCTGATCAAGGAACTGGTATATCATTCCTTCGAGACGTCCCTGGCGTTTGCTGATCCTCAAGTTGTCCTCTTTCTGACTAGGGTTCTGCGGTGGGGGATGGTGGATGTACGTCCCAGAATAGATTGGAGGAAGACCATAGGAATCTTCCCGGCGGCGAGCAGGCTCTCTGTGCCGGTAATATGGATGGTTAGGCTTGGTGTATCGATCCATGTGGCTGAGATCTCAAGCTTGATGTGATGGCTTGAGGACTTTTGTAAAAGCCTCCCTCGTAGTAGGGATTTCGATTTATAGGGTTCATTGGTTCGGGAACTGAAACAAAAAGAACCAAAAATGGAAATAACCAGAAAAACGGTTCTAGAGTCGATTTACCAACCTTTCTTAGGTTTTGCGGAAAGAAAACGCGTGCCTTCCCCGGCAACGGCGCCAACAACTTGATGTTGCTGTCGTGTGAGGGTTGTCAAGTTTTGCCCTAAATGAAATCAGTAGCTGCAAGTGCACAGCTGATCGATTGTGGTACTTAGGGATCGAATCCACAGGGAAGGAAGATCTTTCCTGCAAAAGCCTTCGAAAGAAATGTGAAGTAAGGAAGTCTAGAACCAGTCGATTTTTATAGGGGTTTTGGTGGTGTCTTTAAAACGTAAAAACAAATCTTAACGGAAAAATACGGGAATTAAAATGACCTAAAAACTAAACTTATAGAAATCAATTAAAAACGAGAAAAGGGCTAAACCTAATTGCTTGTATGAAAATCGGCTAAGTGAATGAAATACTAGACAAAAAACTTGAATGAAAATCGGTGTAAATCTATAAAAAAGAGGCGCTGGGTTTTAGGGAAATTCTCTCCGGGGGATGAACGATTCAAAACATTGCTAAATAGTAAATTAAAAAGATCCTAACTAAAATTTTAGAACTCGAGTCACGAACGTATAAATACGCCACTATCGTGATCATAACCAACTATCTCTCTCAACCCTGACTAGTAGGTTTCCACTCTTGCCCTGGAAGAGAAAAAATGTGATATGCTTAAGACTCATCAATATTCACAGCTCTCCCAAAGGTAGGTTTCCACTCCTATGGTCGATCTGCTCTTCTCGAACTAGATCTGGCCCCGAATGAAAACTTTCGCAACACCCAAGACCTAGATCAGATTGTAGTTTATGACGCTACTCCTATGCATTATAAATAAGTTTTTTTAAAAAAGTTCTAGGATTCGACTTCAATAGCTAATGGAATCCTCATCGAACATATATAGCCCCAATCGAAAATCCCTTAAACCCAACAATAAAACTACTCAGACATGATGAACGAAAGCAAAAACATTGTATTAAAAAGCTGAGTAGAAATCGATATAATAGAAGAACAAAGAGGGTTTAAGAGATAGATCTCTATCTTCCTAAACCTAAAAACTAAGAAAATGAAGGACAAAAACTTAAAAGCTGCAAAAAGAATAAATTGTACGTGTCTCTGTCGGTATATCTCTAGAGTTCCTAAAAACATGTATTTATATTGTCCAAGTCGTCACTTAGGGTTTCTCCAAATGAGGGAATCATTCTGGGCTTGAAAAATGGGCTCCGGGGTCGGACAGACCAATCTCCGCGGTCGAGAAGGTTGGGACCGTGGTGAAATGGCTGTTGGTCGCGGGTAGGAATGCTTGCCGGCTGGTTTACAAGACATCTTACTCTTCCCGTGACTTTTGATTGAATCGTTGGATTTCCAAGCTGTAAAGTGTGTTGGAAATCTGGTAGTTCCATCTTTAAGGTCTCCAAAATTGAGCTGGATCAGACGGTGAGAAGGTCTTCATTTGGGGGTGAACTTCTGACGGTTTGACTCTAAACTGAAATCTGGTCTTCTATCCATTTTGTTAAGCATTTTCCTAAGTTTCCTGAAAAGAGTCTTGGAACTACAAATAATAGAAAAACATAATAAAAACACTTGAAAGCAATAAAAAACATAGAAAAAGTACTACAAAACGATTCATAAAAGTGATCAAAATACGGTGTTATCACTATTCTACAGAGTAATAAAGGAGATCATATTACTTGGCTACCACATGTTCCAGATTCCAATATTTAAGTGCATTTAGGCTAACAGATGGAACAGAGTGAAAGAGGAAGAAGGCTTTACGCTGGTTAATCTCCATATAAAACAATCATCATTTTCAAATGATCCTTTCATTCTGCAATCACAAGCTATACGAAGATGACTATTCACTTTGGTATGTTGTTATGAGGGCACCACCAAGAAAATATCATGAGTTAGAGAGTGAAAGAGGAACAGAGTGAAAGAGGAAGAAGGCTTTACGCTGGTTAATCTCCATATAAAACAATCATCATTTTTAAACGACCCTTTCATTCTGCCATCACAAGCTATACGAAGATGACTATTCACTTTGGTATGTTGTTATGAGGGCACCACCAAGAAAATATCATGAGTTAGAGACAGAAAAGGATTTTATTTCTGCACAGTTATCAGTCCAACCAATTGAAGATTTAGGCGATCAATCTTCTGATGATGAGAGTTTTTGTGTTAGGGAGGACTGTGAAGGTGTGCTGGTAGAGGATTGATATTCATATCTTTACCAAGTCTGTTGCAGTAAGCGCCAAAAAGGCTTTGAGGTGAGTCCTTTGAAGTCACTAAATCCAAAGAAAAACAGGAAGCCTGCTCCAGAAGAGAATGAAGGAGAAATTAAATGAGTGATGAGTATTTTTCTGAAGAAGATGGTAATGGCATTGCTGAAGAGGACCAACATAGTAAAGTACCATTGCCAATAGAGGAAGATAAAGTGATCGATGAAGAAGTAGAAGAACACTCACCCAATCTAGAAAAAGAATCTTTCCCGCCTTCCGCAAAAAGAGTTTCCAACACTTTTGAAGAAGTTTAGACACAACAATCAGAGACCAAAAAGAGGAATACCAGAGGTCCAACTAAAATGCGCAAAGTGATAAAAGTGGAGTTCACTTCTATAGGCGAGCATGTTGGTAGTGGATCAGTAACTATTTCTTCCTTTCTTGGTCCACTTGTGAGAGAGCATGTGCCAGTACTGGTTGATGACTGGAGACATCTCGATGATCATAAGAAAAGACACAATGTGAGAGGAAATTCAGGTTATTTTCTCTTTTAATTGATTGAATATGAGTATATGTATGTATACTATCAGTAAATCTTTTAATGTTTTACTTGGAAATGTTTGGCAGGGGAGGTTCAATTTGAAATAGGAATGGCAAAAAGAATCTGTATTTAGGTAGATGGGTTGTTTGTGGAGGGCCTCTAAATCTAGGCTTGTTTCCAAGTTCGAGCTACGAAAAGCAAGGTACAACTACTGAAAAGGATTTCAATCCCAAGGTGCACCTTGCCTTTTTTCCAGGTAGCTCTTAAAAGATGGACACCGTCGGCCGGAAACAGCAGTATTGCATCGTTACAATTGTTCTTTGAATACTGTGGCGCGCCTTTCAGGTGCTTTAAAACCAAGTAACATCCATAGCTCAGCTTTTAAGGTTTGTACATAACGTGTACTGATTATTGTTAAGCTAATTTTTTTTTAGATTAGTTATGTCACAGGACTGTTTGTGTCATTAGGAACAAAGTGATCGATACAGACAACTGAGGAAGGGTCAAATTCCTCACACCACCAGCCACAAAGGAATGATTCGCCTAGCCCATGAGATGGTATGTATGATTATAAAATGAATTAGTTAGTTTTAAATAGTAAATCAGTTTTTGATAACTATTGTTCTGAACTTGTATAAAAAGAATAGTTCGGATCCTATTACAGTTACTAGAAGTAAGGTTTGGGTAGCAGGACACATGCATTCTAATGAGAGACCCGTGAGGGAAGAATTTGCGGATACTATTGTAAATGTTATTTAAATTATTACTAATTTTTGTTTCTGAAATTGTTATAGAAACTATATTGTCCATATTAAGTGTAAATTTTGATTTCAGGAAAAAGTCAAGACAATTGATAGTGAAATGGACTCCACATCCACAAATAATATTAGAGAAGATGATGTAAGTCAGGTATTAGGAAAAGACAGACAGGAAGACTTCAAGGGATGGACAGAGGGGCTATTGCTACTAAGTTAGCATTCTTACATGTGCAAAAGCTCGAAGCTACTCAAGTATAATTACTTAGCAATCTTGGAGAATTGCAAATTGTGGTTAGTGACTTAGCTGGAAAAAAGGTAAGTATTCCATCTTGTTGCAAATTGTTGTGTCCTAATGATGTGATACTGAGCAGCATCAAGAAAGGAGAGCTTGAACCAGAGCATGGAGCTAAGGATCACATCAATGTGACTTGCCTCCATAGGTAGAACATCACACAGAATTTCGTCCTCATACTTTCCAAGGGTTAAAGAAACCGATACTTGGCTATTAACTCGCATTTCACCTTTATCATTGAGCCAATGCAGATTGTATGGCTTAGGATGCTTCCTCACGGTCAAGCCAAGCTTATTAACCATGTATTCACTTGCTACATTGGTGCAGCTTCCTCCATCGATGATGAGATTGCACACCTTGCCTTGCACATGACATCTTGTGTGAAACAGGTTCTGTCTTTGTGCTTCCTCGTCTGCCTTAGCTTGCACGTTTAGAATCTTTTTCATCATCAAAAGATCTCCTGTAGCAGCATACTCCTCATGCTCTTCCACTGAATCTGAGATTTCTTTTTCATCTGCTGATTCGTACTCACCATTGTCCAAGAGAATCAGAACTCTCTTGTTAGGACATTCACTAGCAATGTGTCCTCTTCCTTGACACTTGAAGCAGACTATCTCACGAGCTCTAGTAGTGGTTGCTTCGGTTTTCACCTTGAAATCTGGTTTAGCAGGGAATGATTTAGTAGGCACCATCGGCTCAGTACTTGGTTTTTCTTCTTTAGCAAGACTTGGTTTAGCCGTAGATGAGCTAACTCCAAAGGTTGATCGAGATCCTCTCCTCTTGAGCTGTTGTTCGACTAGAATGGCTTTGTGATATATCTCCTCTAGATCAGCATAGCTTTGCATCTCCACTCTGTCTTGAACTTCTCGTTTTAACCCACTCAAGAACCTAGCGATGGTTGCTTCTTCATCTTCTTCAATACCAGCCTTGATCATCAGAGATTCCATTTCTTGAAAATAATCTTCCACACTGCTGTTTCCTTGAGTCAAGCGTCTAAGTCTCTGGTGTAGCTCCCGATGATAATGACTAGGGACAAAGCGCTTCCTCATGAGTGCTTTCAACTCATCCCAAGTATCAACAGGCGGCTCTCTACTGCGTTTGCGGCTTGTTGTGATCTGATCCCACCAGTTTATGGCATAACCATAAAACTCTGTAGCAGCTAGCTTCACCATCTTGAGATCTGAATACTCTTGACAATCATAGATCATCTCGACCTTCTTCTCCCATTCCAGATAAGCGTCTGGATCATTCTTGCCACGAAAAGGAGGAACTTTCAGCTTCATGCCTCTCATGTCCTCATCAACACGTTCTCTTACTCCTCTTCCACGTCTTGGACTGCCTTGTGAAAAATTATCATCACCAACATCATTTCTAGGCTGTCTCTGCTGGACATGAACCCCATTGGCATTTCTTTCTTGAAATCTCCTCGGATTATGTTCTCCTTGTAGCTGATCAATTCGCTGGTGTAGTTCTTCTGCTTGAGTTTTCATCAGTTGCTCAAACCGAGCCATCATAGCTTCCATAAAGAGTTTGTTGCTATTGTTGCTGTTGTCTCCTTGCTCTTCACTCATTGTGACCTGAAAAACAAAACAGAAAACAAGACCAGTAACAAGTTCTCACAATAGACCAAAATGCAGAAGTGACTCTTCGTGTACCTCAAGAAATCAAAAGCCTTAGAATATGATCGGTTTATTTTTAAACAAACACAGATATGGCCGATGATGAGATCTGATGATAGAAGCTGAAGAGACAAACTAATATGAGCAGATCTGATGCCAGAATATGAAAAGACCAACAAAACCATGGATGAAAGCGTGATGCAGAGGCAAACAACACTAGATTTAGAGGCTTATGATGCAAACTAAACAGATCTAAAATGATTTTTATGGGTTTTCTTTTTCTGAAGAGAACTAAAACGAAAACAGAAGATGAACAGATGCAGACACGAAATTAAGAAGATGAAAAGATGAGAAAGGATAGAGACTACCAAAGAAACTTCTAAGTGTGCTCTGATACCAACTGATGTGATCCTTAGCTCCATGCTCTGGATCAAGCTCTCCTTTCTTGATGCTGCTCAGTATCACATCACACATCCTGTTGGGAAGGCCATGGCAGTATGATAAACAAGTGACTCATGATGGCTCCACCAATAAGTATTCTTTTGAGTTCAAAGGCAGGAAGCACATCCTTGTTCCAATGACACCTTTCGAGATTTATCAAGATCAAAAGAAGAAAGGAAAACAGGCTGAGAACAACACCTACAAGCAATCAAACTTCCTTGCCAAATCTGGTAATATCCAAAGAACTCTAATCTCTCAATCATCTAGTCGTAAGTCTGCTTATAAAGAAACTCTTTTGAGTTTATCTAATGTTGCACCGGAGCTGCCGAGTGGAAGATCTTTTGTTTTACAGGACTCTAAGGATGATTTTCTTAGGCCAACTGAACCTTTAGAAGATAAATACTGGAACAGAATTCAGTTTGGACAAATAGATTGCATCTTTCCTATGAAGAACCCATCCGAAGGCCTTAACTTCACCAAAAAGAGGCTTAAGCAAAAGGAGCTGGTAAACGATCAAACCACCACTGAAAAAGGAGCTCAAAACGAACAAGGAAAAGGAATGAGGGCTAGAGGACGTGTGGAACTTGAACACTCTGACCTCAAGAATGCTAGGAAGCATGGAACACCTCAAACTCCAATACAGATCACTGCCGAAACATACTTGCAAGGTAAGCATTATCCGAATTCAAGTTCTAATGGTTCTAACTTAGCTTTGTTCTTGGCAGATGGTCCTGATTTGAGGACAAATCCTTTTCAACTGGGGGAGGATGATGTGATACTGAGCAGCATCAAGAAAGGAGAGCTTGAACCAGAGCATGGAGCTAAGGATCAGCTTGTAGCCGAGAAATATTGGTCTAAAAACAAAGGAGCTGATGTGATACTGAGCAGCATCAAGAAAGGAGAGCTTGAACCAGAGCATGGAGCTAAGGATCAGCTACTTATCTATGGAACAAAGAAGATCGCTTGAGCCAGGCTGGAAGAGATGGATTACAAACCACACTGGTTTTGATTCAGGCTCAAGTAGATCAACAATTGGGTAAGTGGCCCAGTTGTACTCTTTTTCCCTTACCTTTGGTTTTGTCCCAATGGGTTTTCCAAAGGAAGGTTTTTAAGGAGGCAATGGTGTCTACTTCTCTCAAGGCCCAATTGTTGATTCAAGGACTTAAGCCCAAGACAAATTTCGTCCAAGGGAAGTTCAAGAGGCTGGAGAAGTGACTTGAAGAGTTATTCAAACTTTGCATTTATTTCCTTGTCATTTTCGAGTTTGCCTTGTTTTTCTACATTTCTTCTCTTCAAATAATCTTGTAATCTCTTATGAGAACTCATCCTGGATTGGATCATCAAACTTTTATCAAATAAAACTCTATCTTTCTCTTATCAAACCTGGACGAAATCCTTTGTCTCTTTGAGAGTGATTCGCTGCTTGTGCAGCATCTTTATCATCTCTATTCTCTTTGTTTTCTCCTGAGAGTGAATCGCTGCTTCTGCAGCATCTTTTTCATTTCTCTTCTATCTCTTGTGATCAAATTAAACTCTGAACAGCAACCTGATCTATTAATCTCTTCAAACAGAAGTTCATTCCGCAAGCTTCTGTCCCTGATCTATCTCTTACCAAGCTTCTGAGTGCCGATCCTTGGGAGGATCACATCACCTAATATGAACTTTTAGTGACTTAGCTGCTAAGATGCCAGCTAATATGTTTCTTGTTATGTTCAACTTTTTAGAGACAGGCTGGTGATGTCTCTAAATCTGAGTTAATTGACATTAGCAAAGGAGAAATTAGGTGCCAGCTATTGAATTGGTATTCGACTGATGACGTTATTGTTAGAGAAGGAGAATTCTGCTCTAGTGAACCAACATATAGGATAGGTTGAATTTCTCTAGGTCTTAATGTTGCTGATGTAATTGTGAAGTCTGCATCAGTCGGAGAAGCATACATCTGGAGAACTACTCCAACCATTGTCTCACTTGGTCAAGCTTTAGGAGTTAAAATAGCATCAGTCGGAGAAGCATACGTCTGGAGAACTCCCCTATGGATCTGAGGTAATTTAAATCTGAATTTGTATTCCTTTCAAAGTCATATGGACTAGATTACTAATATAGTATATATTTGCATGACTCTTTAGACTATTGACGTATCTATACAAAAAGTTTATATTTTTGATTAGAATGTGGAAGATGAAGTGATTGGTGAGGGTATATTGTTGTCAACTGACCCAAAAGAATTGGTCAACAATATTACTCTGGAACCGAATGCTACTGTTGTGAAGGTCAAGCTGGTGGTTAAACCTGATGCCTATTTATGTAGACCAAGTGCTGAAATCTCATTGATGGGTGATGCGCTGAATGAGAACATTTCATGGCCTACTCATAGGATACACTTAGGTAATCTACCTACAAGGATGAATCAGAAAAAAAATCACCTCCGGTAAGTTCTTGCAATTAGGTTTATTTTGATTTGGTTAAATATATATAGCTTAATAGTTATGATAGTAGGTTTGGCTGAGATGAGAATATATATCATCAGTTATGGATTTGTTGATGTTTCCGTGATGTTATATTGATGAAGTTTATAATTTTGACTACTAGAGTGGTAGTAACAGCACTGGTAGCAACAAAGGTGCAAAACAGACTGTGATAATTATAGGCAAAGAGTTTTAGTAGGTCGTATTTCTTCAACTGATCATGATCCAGCAGAGAAAGTCCATTTCGTCCCTTTAGGTCCCAATACTAGTAAAGTGTGGTAGAAATTTCTAAGGTTGATGGTGCACAAGTGTGGAGACCAAATTTAAAATTTGAATTCATATCTAATACAATAGGAACCACAGTAGCTTGACCGAATGATAAACTTATATTGATGTGAGACAGATGTGTTAGATTTTGGTTTGTTGTAGTACTTTAAACTATTTACTTGAGAAAACTATGTTGAATTTATTATTGTATCTTTGTCACAATTAATATAATGATTTTTTATTCTGTTGTATCGTCTCTCAATCTAGAAAGATTTATTGAATCAAATTAGTCAAAAACAAAACTTAGAAACAATGATATCTATATAAATGCTATTTAATATTATAAACAACAATTCCTAAATGCTGTGAATAATATTATTAATAACAAAACAAAACGTCATTGTATAATATCTATTAGCAGAATAAAATGCGCTATAGTATATGAGATTACAATAGCAGCATCAAAAACTACTATCTAAAGTGCTTGACCTATTAAGACGAGCTATGATAGAGAGTTTTTAAAAACGCTATTGTATTGTTAGATAGCTTTTTCTGATGCTAGGAATATTTTTTTTTCCTGTAGTAACACAACCTAATTAATAGTATATTTGACATAAACCACATGTCCCAATTCCTGTATCGTCCTCATTGCTACCACCACACAATATCTTTTTTCAAGCTCATGACGTTCCTCTCATACTTCATGCTTACTCAGATCCCGATTGAACAAGAAATGTTCCTATTTTCTAGTCGTCTAGGAATTAAAATATGTCTCATGTTCCTCTACTGAAGCAGAATACCGAGCAAAACTTTGCTTGATATTGTCTTTTCTCTTGACTCGAAATTTCCTTACCTTCAACGCTATTCGTTTAACGCGACAATATCAGTGTGGCTATGTGCAATCCGGGTCTTTCATTATCTGATATACAGATATACTTGATTACCTCTT